ACACACACACATATATATACATACACACACACACTCGCACACACATACACACACACGTACACACGCACACACACGTACATGAGCCCACACAAAAATATATATATATATATATATATATATATATATAAATTATGGTCGATTACCAACATACATATATATATATATATATATATATACATATATATGTATATATATACAACATACATACATATATGTATACGACGCTATTATGTTCAGCTGATTTTTATATAGCTGCAATTTTATTTTTAAATTCAAACAGACAAGCAATTATACAATGCGTCTTCAAAAATAATGCGTCTAATTATTTTTGATAAATTTTTTCATTTTTTTTATTAAACGTTTAGCTGAGCATTTTTGGCAAACGCAAACATTTGAAGTTTAAAAAATTATTCAAAAATAATTAGATGCATTATATCTGAAGACACATCAATAAAAAAAAAATGGGTGGACCGGTTAGTGGTCAGTGATGCATAAATGAAGGAAGAACAAAGGAAGGTAATAAAATCTAATGAGTTTATTATTTTATTCATGCGAGCGAAGGAATGAGTACTTGAAAGCTTTCCTCAGATTTCTTTGAAATTTATATTTTATATCAATTAATAATTTTTTTCATAAGACGCATGAAAACAAAAAACAATTAAAACCGACATTTTTGCATCCTGAATATTTATGACCGATTTCAAAACAAAACTGAAAAAGAAATCACATAAAGTAACGCAGCTACAGCATTAGTTGTTGTCAATATTAAACCATTAAACGGCAACAACAAAAACAACAACAGGAACAACAAGTTTGATTTCAATAAGCAACATTACATCTTTCAATATGTAAAATAAAGTTCGACCAAGCGATCAATCAACATAAACGTGCGTTCTCGGAGCTGCTCACATTCCGACAAGCTTGGTACGTTTCACAAATATTTTAAATTTCATTTAACTGATACGTCAAGTTAGAAACTTTAACAGTTGTTAGATATATATATATTTGTTTGAATAACTGAATATTATTTTGAAAAAATTGCTTTTATTACAATTCATATATAAGTAATTGGTTATACATTAAAGATGTATTGATATTTATTCATTATACATGGCACATACATAAATATACATAT